CTAAACATAGAAACAAAGCTATAAAAGTAATCCACCCTTTAGTAAAGCACAATTCAAACCTCATCCTCATGGAGCAACATATTTGGGATCCCTTTGTTGACAGGGAATTTACGGCCAGTCTCGGGACAAACCAACGCGCCTTCCTCGAGATGGAGCTCGAGAAGGGCATGGTGAAACTTGCGTAGAAAATCATCTGAGTCGAGCATTGTGGGCTCCGCCTCTTCGGGTAGCTCGGAATAGCCCATAGTTCTAGAAGCATCCACTAGGGCCTTCCATTCAACCTTGGCAAACATGTTCCGGAGGAAGTCCGGGTTTAACTCGACCTCCCTTTGCACCACTTTTTCAACCTCGATTTTTAGAGGGTATCCGTTGGTCACGCCTTTGATGTTCGACGAGAGCATGTTGTGAGTTAGAAGCCTCATTTGTTAATTTCGGGGGAGTGCCTGAAGTTAAAGTTCAAACTTTTTAAACTCTATGAATTCAAGAGAGAACGATATTAAACAATGTAAATCCTAATTATTATAAAGAACGCTCGTGACATTTGAAACATCATGCGCCATTCGCGAGTCTTGTATTTTCACTATTTTACCTAGCGAACAGATGTGTATGCGGGTATATACAACAACAACAACTACAACATACCCAGTCTTGTATTTTCACTATTTTACCTAGCGAACAGATGTGTATGCGGGTATATGTAATTATAAAAGAAAATAGAGATTCATTTGTAAAATATACTAAAACCAAAGAGCTAATATTTCATAAACCCTAAAGATAAACTACATGGGGCACTTGGAAACACAAAAATAACAGAGATGATGAGTAATTACAGAATTTTTTGTCCGAAAAAAGACAATGCATTTGGAGCCTAAACAGGTCAATAACTGCAAAAGAAGCCAATTTTTACAAAACCTAGCCTCTTTTTGAAAAATCATCATCACAAGTATGAAAACCCAATGAAAGATAGCATTACAAGTATCATAATGTTTACTCTATTACAACATACAACTATAAACTGTTCTACAAGATACCATTTTGAAACACAATTTATTTTCTATACACACATAAGTGACTACTAAAAGCCNAGAACAGGAAAACAGACATAGGTCTTCATTTTTAGAAAATTTTGAAACACAATAAAAAAAAGATATTATCTAGATGGTTACATGCCTTATCCCCAATCTCAAGCCGAAATAAAGAGACAAAAATTAAAGGATCAAACATCTAGCATAACTAGCTAAGAAGCTTGCCTTATAAACAAGTGAAACACCAAAAAGAAGAGCTCTTCGTCGCCGGTCGGAATCGCCGGAAAAGGTATGAGCGGCGGCTGGAAGCTGCCTGAGAGAATATAGGGACTAGGGTTCAAAAAGGGAAGACGAGGACCGAAGAAGAACGACAGCAAATGAGCTTTGCTTGGTGTTGGGCCTGGGCTACATGGAAAAAAAGAGGCTTATTTATACATACTAAACAACGGGCTGATTAGGCCCGCATTTAAACGGGCCTGCAAATGCAATGCCCATAAAATGTTTTGTGACCCTTTTACATGTTTATTATATATTTTAAAATAAAAAATAGGCTTATATATTAAATCAGATATAAAAGTGTTTATAAATGAGTTACAAATCTATAAATAATGCAATTCATCAGTGTCAAATAAAAAATAACCACAAATCTACCAACAATGAAAGTTGGTATATTTATAATTAAAAATAAAAACTTTATAAATGTGGATAAAAAGTTAGGTGAATGGTGTAATTTTTCATATGACAGTATCATGTTTCACTACTATACTTTCGTGTTTTCTATTTCGTTTGATCACAATTCATGATAAGAATTCTAAATTTAACTAAACTTTTTTTATTTATTGTCACGTTGTGTTGTGCTTGTCGTAACCTTTGTTTCTGATACATTCTGAGTGTCGAGTTACAATGGAAAACACATGATATGAATTGATATTTTTATGTTCTTAGATTTGAACTACAAATAGAAAATAACAATACGATAAATCTTGATCGGGGGAGATAATAAGCCGAGGCGAGAGTTACACTTTCCACAAGACGAGTATGCCCCGTAATGTGCTGACAGATTCATGTGTCTCATCCACAAAGATTAATGGTTATATTTCAAAAGTTGTAGCACTTCCAAACTTTTGATCTACGGCCAAATTAAATGGAGTAAAAATTGAGCACTATGCGTGAGCATGAGGCTTTTAGACGTCAGTAATTCATATGATATGTGAGTGTGTTATGCAACTCTAGAGACATGTCCTATTTGTATGATATCCGATTAGGTAGAGAATGTTAACAGTCACCTGCCACTTAAGGCAAACAACACCCGATTAAGGTTGTTATAATGGTATAAAATAGTTGTATCGCTTTACCAGGTTTCAAAACACCGTTATCTGTAGATCCTTGTTGATACCCGAGTCCGGCCCCCAATAAGAGGAGTCGGTCCAACATACCGATAACTGAACAATGGCCAGGCTGAGTCAAAGGTGCCGGTCAACGGAGTAGCACATGGGTACCGAGCCGACCTAAAGTCAAAGTCATCTAGGACGGCGAGAGGAACAGACCCCCGAACTCGGCACCCCACACGCAAAGATATGAGGTCGGCATTCCATCGGAAGTCTCACTAAGACGGCCCCGGATAAAAACCCGATCTCAAATACAGTAAAATGATGCCACTTGTCTGCAAATGATTGCCGATGGGACGTCTAGTTCAGCCAGAACGAGTCCGCATTTAATGCAGCCCACGTTCGCATTAAATGTATGGCAGGTAATGATTGGAGAATCCGGAAATTACTCTCAATCAGTCAGAGAAGCGCCGGTTTGTCCCGTTGAGCTACTGTGCGACAAGACCGCTGAACAGTACCCAAACCGTGCCGCATTAAAGCCTCCTATAAATAGCAACCCCTTCATTTATTTTTGGGTTGTTGAAATCCCAACTACTCAAGCCCACATTTTCTCTCTCTAAAGAACTTGTAAGAAACTCTTGTAAGCAGTACAAGTATATCGCAAGTGCCGACCTCGTACGAGAGGCCGAACTCGTGATCCATTAATAAAACCGTAATTAAACCGTATTTCCTTGTCTTTCCTTCGTTTTCTTTACATTAGTTGACTTTTTAACCGTTGACCGGAAACGTCCGTCAACAATCCTCATATGAAATCAAAATATCTATATACATTGTTTTTACAGAGGTTCAAATGGGTTGGGTCAAAACTCATATGAATATGGATTTTCTTATGGGCTAGAAAGTGCAAATAAGTATGCAGCAAAAAGATTATATGGATAGAATGGAGGGCCCAAACCCAATACCAACTCAGACCGTCCAAGGACTAAGACCAAGGCCAAGGCTCGTGCCTAAGCTAAGCCGGCCGACGGGCGCGCTTGCGCACGTGTGTGGCTGAAGCCAACACCAATACTTGATGCATAGCTTTAGTTGTGACTCTACAACTTTATTTATTATAATAAAAAGGGTTGTCCTTGTTTAAGAGTAGAGTCACATTGTGAGATAGGTATATTTACCGTTCGAATCCCACGCACAATATTTTAAGTGTTCATCAATAACTAACTTTAATCATTTATTTCTCACTCACTAAAAATAAAAAATAAGTATACCACGAGTATTCATTCATACTGAAGAATTTTTTAACATAACTTAATTCAAGATGGATTAAAATTTTAGACATTAAAGAATAAGTCAAAACAAGAATCAAACCCAATGTTTATAACACAGTTTTCTAAGAGCTCATTTGTTTGTCAAGATAAGACAAGATTAGCTCTTTAATCTTGCGTAATCTTATGTTTGTTAACCTAGATTGAAGCCCGCTACAGCCCGCATGACAAGATTCAACCGAGATTAAAAGTCATTTTATCTTGGATATCCATGATTATTGGATCTTGATGTTTTGGCATGATATTTTCCATCTCAACAGTACAAAAAGCTGGAAATGTCCATTTTCTCCTCAAATATCCTATTTTGTGACCAACTAACCTTAACTTGGACTGAAATTTCAACACAAACTATTCTCCTAAAATCAATACTATAGTTTTTGATCTTTTTAAAAACGCAGAACAAGGAAGAAATTCACCACCGTATATATTAGAGAATTAAATAATTTTCATGTCCAAAAAAATTACATATGCAAGCAACATATTATGAGCATCTTCATATTTGGGGAAAACTAGCTCTCACATACAGATCTATTGCTTTTCCAGTGTGAGCAAAAAACAATCCCCACAAATAACCCAAATCCCGACCCACCATCTCCGCCACGAAAATGCCGTTGTTGACAGCAAAAGCATGCTGTTAATTTCCATCTCCATGAAATTAAAGAAACTATTTTTTTATTTATTTGTTTGCAGATTAAGGAGCCTGTATGAAGACAATTTTTACCATAAAGAAAATAAAAAGGGAAAGATGAGAAAAGGAAAGGAACAAGGAAAAATCTGCAATGAAGGAAAAGGGTCGTTTTGCTGTGAAAAGAAAAAGGATTGCCAAAAAAAATTATGGAATGGAAAGAAACGGATAACAAGAAAAGGAACTAAAGAAAAAAAATATATATTGTTGTTGTTGTGCCCTAAGATGTAGTGGAAAGAAATGTGTGAAAGGAAAAAATATAGGAAAATATAAGTTGGAATGAAAAGAAATAAGGAATAAATTATATTTGCTATAATGAACAAGCAGATGGTAAATATTTTGGGCATTGGGGACAAAATTGACAATGTACAATTATATCCGATAAGTTATCTAGTGAAACAAACATTGTGAGAAGTGAAACACTATCTTATCCCAACTAACAATCATACGAAACAAATGTGGGTCTTGTTTTATCTGTACAGTACAATCCGTTCTTCCCCTATTAATTTAGTCTAATCTCATCTGACGAAACAAATGAGCTCTAATAATTTATGTTATTGAGTTGAGTTTTTTAATCGTACCATGTCGTGTTTGGTGTCGTAAACCCAAATAAAGACGGGCCTTTAACCAGCGGCCCATTAGTATACCGCACAAGGCAACCATCCAAATCGAAAATCGAAACACAGAGCGCCATAGAACCATTTTCAAAATCCTCCACTCTCTCTCTCTCTCGTCCACACACACACACACACGCTCACTGTGTGCACAGAGCACAATCCTTCAATGTCCGTCTCCCTGTAGCTCCTCGTCCGCGAGTTTTCACCGGAAAATTCACTGAAAAAACCAGAAATGTTCGAGTGCTCAATCGATGGAAGGGGAGACTGACCTTCCGGACCCTCCACCGCTGGAAGCCAAATTCTTCAACCCCAATCCGAGCCGTCCGATCAGCGTCCACCCGGACTCCGTCAACCTCAGCCGTACGTTCAACACCACGTGCTCCTCCACGAGTTCGTCGTCCTCCTCTCCACCGGACCTGGTCCGGCATTTCCAAGCTGCTTTCAAGAGACACCGTCCCTCAGGTTTCAATTGAGTTCGATTTCACATTTGGATTCGTCTCTGTTTGAGCGTTTGCTTCCGTTTACTTATTTTCTGGTACTTCAATTGATTAGGGTTATCAATTTTGTTCTTTATTTGGCTATGGCGCCTCGATACATCTGAGGAATTCATTTTGTGCCTTTAAGGCCTATTCGTTGGATAAAACTTAAGAAGAAACCTCATATATAGATAGTTACACACAATGTGGTGTATTGTAGTTGTTGTACTGAGGTTGAAGAAGTGCAGATCTCTAGTTGCCTTATTAGGTATTTTTCAGCAAAATTTAGATGGATGCTGCAGTCTCCACCACTTCTATTAGATATTAGGCTTGAAGTAGTTTTATCTGTAAATTGGTACTGTTCAGTTTGAAACGGCGTGTCCACATCAAGTCATGTATCTTCTCTAGGATATACCTTTGTCTTGTGTGCTGCAATTTGAGGTTCTTTTATGTCTCCTTTTCTGTTTCTAGGAATGTGGATCTAACTATTAATTCCCTTTTAACAAGCAATGTGTGTCAGAAGGGTTTTGCTTGTTATATTGTTATAGTTATGAATGACACCTTTGATGTTTAGTCATTGATATGCCTTTTGTTTTAGTAAATCTATTAGTGTGGTGCAATAAACATGCTTTCCTGACTTTTGCATGGTTTCTTTCCTAATGGACACATAGGTATGATGCAGACAAACGGCATTAAGCCAAGAAGATTTTTGGTTCCTCAGAAAGAAAGCTCAAAGGAATCAAATTTAAAACATCAGTCAACAAATGACATAAAAAAGAGTAAAGATACTAATTGGCAAGGTCACAAATTAAGGGGCTCCATTCTGCAGTCCAAGATCAGTGTAGATAGTCATGAAGTAGCATCAATCACGCTTCCTTCGGAATTGGGTGCTTCTGTAAATACCAACGAAGAAAATCCTAAGCCATTCCATACTCAGAGAACTCAACCTGGACTTTCGATAAGGTCTGGAGCCAATAATGCAGTTACTTCAGGAGGTTTCGAGCCTGGCAATGCAGTAGCTGAAGTGCAAAGGAATGTTCATTTTGCCAATGAAAAAATAGCCTCTTCTCACGGTATAATGTTTCTACTTGTCAAGTGATTCCTCAACGTGAGAAGCTTTTTGCATGTTCAAACTTCAAAGAGAAAAAAAAAAAAAAAGAACAACAAATTAGTTGAATAAGTTAAGTCAGTAGAATTATGGACGTTAAACAGTGTGTAACACACTAGGGATGAGTAATAGTTTTCTATTTATGGTGGATACTCTGAATTGTCTTATGCAGGGTCCGATGACCAAATGGCCACCGGCACAGATGATTTGTTGTCTCATATGAATTCACTTGCATTGGCAGAAATCGAATGGGATGTGGGTAACCAAGTGCATAATACTTCACCTGCCAACAAGCAAGACTGGCAGCACGATAATTTCCAAGGCATTGAATTTGATAACAATAAGAATATTAGTTTTATATCCGAGGGTGGGGTTTCTTCAATGTTGGCGAGAAAAAACATGGGCATCCAGGATCAGTCCCACCAGTTTGAAAGTTTTTTGCAAAATGATTTATGCACTGCCATGACCCAATCATCCGTGGTCGGTTCTTCTTGTGCCACATCAACTCTAATAAATGCCACATCAGCTCCCATGGTTAGTTCAACTACTTATTGCTCTCAACACCAAATGGGTGGCGTTCAGCTCGATGTTGCTGCTCAGCCTTCAAAATCTATAACCAAGGATAAGGCTGGTGGAGTGCTATCAACTGATCAATCATCGTTAGCTTCACAGCTACCTATCAGCTCTAATGCTCCAATTCCAATGGATATTAATAGTAATAAATCTTCTGGCCAATCTAATGAGCCACGGGGTCGTGCAGCAATGGATTATGATATTGGTGGAGATTCTCTCCACAAAGAAAATAATTCAACCGACGTGAAATCCCAACCTCTGTCATCTAACATGCCTCCAACAGATGTGAAGTCGGAGAATTTTAAGTCAGAAAAACAGGAAAGAGGTGGTGGCGGGAAAGCAGCATCTACATCTCGTAGAAAAGGTCACGATCCCGACTTATTTTTCAAAGTCAATGGAAAGCTTTACCAAAGACTGGGTAAGATCGGTAGCGGTGGAAGTAGTGAGGTCCACAAGGTTATATCATCGGATTGCAAAATTTATGCCTTGAAAAGAATAAAGCTTAAAGGCCGTGACTATGCCACAGCATATGGTTTCTGCCAAGAAATCCAGTACTTGAACAAACTGAAGGGGAAGAACAATATTATTCAGCTCGTTGATTACGAGGTATAATAGGCTTGAAATTGCTTGCTATGAATTTAGATGCCAGTTGTTCAGAAATTGACTAAACTATCATTTGTCATTTATTTGTTCTGGAATTGCAAGCTTGTTTTAGAATATAAATTGCAAAGAAGGATTTGTTTATTACAGGGAATTTTCTTGATTCCTCAGCTAGTTACATAACATGTATACGATCATTTTTCATGAAGCTAGTTGTCTGGTGCGATGTTTGTAGCAAGTGATCCTCGCCTATTCACTTCTCCTAAATTCTTATGTTAATATCTACATCAACTCTTATAGGTGACAGATAAGACTTTGCTTAAGGAAGTGATGGATGGCACCATGAACAATAAGGATGCCAGGGTCAAAGATGATGGGTATATCTTCATGGTCCTTGAATATGGAGAAATCGATTTAGCCCATATGCTTGCTCAAAAATGGAAGGAATTGGAAGGTTCTAATGAAATCATAGATGAGAACTGGCTCCGATTTTATTGGCAGGTTCCTTTCTTTCTTTCCTTTTTTTTTTTTTTTTCAGTTCTCTTNTTTCTCTTTTTCTTTTTCCTCTCCTTTCTTACCTGTACATTTTTCCTGAAGATATTATTGAAAATCATTTTGCAGCAAATACTTCTAGCTGTGAACACCATTCATGAAGAACGTATCGTGCATTCTGACCTGAAGCCGGCTAATTTTCTTCTCGTCAGAGGCTCCCTGAAGCTAATTGATTTCGGTATCGCCAAGGCTATAATGAGCGACACAACAAACATTCAACGTGACTCTCAGGTTTATCCAAATATCTAACATTTTCGAGTTTCCCATAGTTTCGCTTAGGGGTGCACAAAATTCGAGCCGAACTGACCGAAACCGAAACCGAGTACATTGGTTCAGTTTCGGTTTACATTTTCTTAAAATTTCGATTTTTGGTTCGGTTTGGATAACAGTGATCAGTTAACCGAACCGAACCGAACCGAAAATCGATTTATACACATATACATTTTTTGTTTATACATATAAGTTATATAAAAACATTAATTTGCTTCAATGATTGATTATTTTCGAGCTTCAATGACCCCTAAAATGGCTCAAGCATTAATTTGCACTCAAGATTTGACTTCGTCATAGTCCATGGTTCTCGTCCGAGATCTTCCTTAGAGAAGAATTTGTAATTTATTGAGAAGATTAAACAAGATGATTCAAAATCAAATTTTTGGTTAGGATAAAAAGGCAAATTTTTTGTTCAGTTAAAAAATCGAAATTTATTGGGAAGATTAATTATTTATTGCGATTAACTGATAACCGATAACCGAACCGACCGTTGGATTTTTGGTTAAAAATCGAACCGAACCATAAATTTTGGTTCGATTTTCGGTTCTTATAAAAGGATAAAACCGAATTTTCGATTAATCAAAAATTCAGTCAGTTCGGTTTGGTTTCGACCGAATGAGCAGCCCTAGTTTCGCTCTCTTTTTTCCTTTATCGCTAATTACCTCCTATGAATTCCTGTTCATAATTTCGAAATTTCCAAACGTTCAAAACTTCAGGTGGGGACACTAAGCTACATGTCTCCCGAGGCATTCATGTGCAACGAGACGGACACAAACGGTAACACGATAAAATGCGGGCGCTCGTCTGATATCTGGTCCCTAGGCTGCATCCTCTACCAGATGGTCTACGGGCGGACCCCATTCTCCAAGTACAAGACCTTTTGGGCCAAGTTCAAGGTCATAACGGACCCAGCCCACGAGATAATTTACGGGCCCGTGTCCAATCCGTGGCTTCTTGATCTCATGAAGAAATGCCTGGCGTGGGACCGCAACAAGCGGTGGAGGATTCCCCAGTTGCTCCAGCACCCTTTCCTTGTCCCGAGCCACAATCTCGGGAGAGAAAACCGTACTTTGTTTCAGTTGATAGCCGATTTGAGTGCGAATGACGAGAAGGTTGTGATGCTGTGTGCTCAGCTACACGGTATGGTGAGTGAACCGCCCGATTCGCGGGTGGTGTCGAGGGAGGAGCTGAGGAAGTTGGTTGGTGAGATTTCGAATGTTTGCTCTTGGCTCCAGGATGAGTTGGTGTGACACTACAGTGAAGAAAAAATGTTTTAGATTTGTAATTTTTTTATATATTATTATTATTATTATTATTATTATTATTATTATTATGCATGGGAAGGGGGGAGTAAGGGTCTTTTGTGGTGTAACACTTTTATTTGAGTTGGCTGCCTTGTAAAAGTTAAAATAGAAATTGTGTATTGAATGATAGTCCATCCTTGAAAAGCAATGTTAATCAGAAAACAATTCAGTCAATTAAAATTGTAATTCTCAAAATGACTCGACATTCAGTAGCATATTTTACTGTCAGTCTATACTATTACAATACTCGTGTGTTACACATGTGTTGAGTTAAGAAATATATGATAAAAAATAATGTTAAAATAATTTTTTGATTAAAATTTTTGATGGACTATTGATGAAAAAAAAAAGGAATAGACAGTGCTTAAAGTGATTTGTAAATCGTAATTTAAGAGAGAAATATGAGAGAAAATTATAATATGGTAAAATTGCTACTTATCCAAATTAAAAAGAAAATGTGTACTAAGAGAAAAAAGTAACAAAATTAAATATACACTTACCAAATTTGAAAAAAGTTATTTACGTCTAATACCAAGACTAATTCCAGAGCAAAAATGAATATATAAACGACATTACGAAGTATAGATTTTCGCCATGTCTGCATCCGAAGCATTATAATCTTCCATTTAGGCTCAACATGTTTTGAATTATTATATAGGGAGGGATAACATATAACAATGACAGGAGTTCGCTATTATTTTATGTTATTTTTAAAAGGAGTTTATTAATTACTGAAAAAGATTTAATCTTGCACAAATTAGTATAGCCAAAAAATGATTAGGTGCTATTATAATAACATAAGAATGGTTAAAATTTTTAACTCTATTATTTTAAACATTATATTATTTGAAAATCAACTAAGTATAAATATTATATTTTAGTATTTTTAAAACAAACTCAAAATATCTTTGTTTATGTCTAATCAATAAATCAATAAGGAAAATGCTACATATACATAATAAATATACATAGAGGTGTACATAACACTCATATGGAGTGAGGTCCATGATTTTTTATTTAAAAAATGTTACAAATACATAATAAATGTACATAGAGGTGTACATAACACTAACATAGAGTGAGGTCTACTTGATTTTTTATTTTTGGTAGGACCCACTTAATATGAGTGTTATGTATACCTCCATGTAAAATATACCTATAACATTTCTCTTTTTATTTTGAATAGATCCCACTTAATGTGAATGTATGTACAATATTATATACGTATAACATTTCTCAATTAATAATGGGCTTAGGGGTTGCCCAAACTAACTGAAATTATTTTGAAATAACGAGGTTGTTTTAGTATAGTAGTGAAAATGGGGTGGCTAAAGTGCAAATTTATCATCTTTCTTCCCCTAGCCTGCGCATTTACAGTCCATTTTTTCTTCCCTCGCTTTCTCTCTCTAAAAAGCGCCCTTCCGTTTCTCTCTGTTCAAACTCTCAGCTTCACCCTCAACAAACCTTATCTATCAGCTAGTAAATTTCATAAAGCTTTCAACTTTTGATAGGATGTATTTGATTTTCTGTACATGTGATTCGAACGGCTGAGTCGTGTAGTTTTCTGCTGCAGAAATGGAGCCACAATCATCCACGACGCTCGTCCTGAGCGGGAAATCCGTTGTAGAAGATGAATTCGCGCGGCGCTTGAAGAACAGCAACGCGATAAAACTCCCCGACGAGTCTCCGGTGACCGTTGTTCTGCAGTCCGATGTCGAGAATCGAGAGGGCTTTGGAAACGACGACGTTTTCCGCGTGGGTTCGTACATGAATTCGCTGTCGATTTCGAATTTCGGAAAGCTGCTCGTTTACTCCCCCAAATTAGCTTCTACCCATGATGTCGTTTCCCAGTAGGCCTGCCTTTTTATTTAGTATTTACTTGAACTTTTTAGCTGTCTGGTTGTGGTTTTGTGTGTATGATTACATTTATTGCTGATATTTTTTCGGGCAGTAATTTTGCTGCGTTGCCTGTTGGTGCTGTGTGTGTTGCTGATGTGCAGGTAAAAGGCAGAGGTACAGCCTGTTCCTAATGATGGGTCTTGCGATTTCGAACTTATCTTTTTCTTGTTTTTTATTTAAATTGTTTTGTTTTTTTCGAAGGTCGGTCGAAGAATGTATGGGAATCACCAAAGGGGTGCCTTATGTTTTCATTCACCATACAGATGGAGGATGGCCATATTTTGCCGCTTGTGCAGTATATCGTTAGCCTGGCTATGACCGAGGCAATTAAAGATGTTTGCCGACAAAATGTGAGTGCTTGATCAAAGTGTTGTTCCCTCGTGGTTATTAGTACAATGGCTGTAAGAAAATGTAGTGATGATAATAGTGAATTATGTTTGATTACAAATGGAGCTTTTTGAGATATAATTGTGGGAAATTTCTTGTTGTGGCACAAGATGGGATCTGTATTCATTGTTTGTTTTCTACTGAAGTTCAAAAGCCATGTCAGTGCATACTCGCCTTGAAAGTGGTGATGCTTGCTTCAAGAATGGAACATTTGAAAAAGTTGCCTAGTTTAATAGAAAATTACTGAAAAAAGTCAGACATTCGTCTCCAGGCTGTTGCTGTATAGTGATGAACGAGACAATTTTGATTACATTTATGTTGTTTTATGTTATGTTTATTGAAAGTCAATTGAATTATCACCCTCATATACATTGTTGGTTGAAAAATGTGTGCTATTGGCACTTGTGTTTGCAAGAAATTCGTTTATTTTGTTTGTGTTGGATGAGAATAATCACAAAAAAGTTTCTAACCTAAGTACAATGTTAAAATGAGTGAATTTGCTGTCATGATTTGATTGTGGGTTTTAGGGAACGTTAATAACAAAGGTGGAATTTATGCGTGTTAATTACCTTTTGTTCATCAATGATATATTTGTAGCCATGTTAGTGACAGAACACCTGCATTCTTGAAACTTCTCCATTTGATTGATTTTCAAGGTAAAGAATAAGAATACATGCTGTGGAAAAAAAGATTTGGAAACTAATAGCTACATATGCAAATATTTTTTTACTTTCTGTGCCTAGCATGTGGTTACCTTGGACAGTGTAGTCGTATTTCATGTTCTCTTATGATATAATCTTTTATTTTCAAAATTCATGTTCTGACACCAAAATATTTCAGGGCCTGCCTTCTCTTGATGTTAGAATAAAGTGGCCAAATGACCTGTATTTAGATGGTCTTAAAGTGGGAGGTATTTTGTGCACATCAACATATAAGTCTAAGAAGTTTAATGTCAGTGCTGGTAAGACTCTTTTCTTTTGATTATTCAAAATCACTGCAAAGTGTTTCACTTTCTGACTACATAGATTGTGCATTATGAGGGTATCACATAATTGTCGATAACACAAGAGTTTAGCTTTATGATCATTTTATTCTTCTTTCATTTTGGTTTAGGAATTGGCGTCAATATCAACAATGAGCAACCAACAATATGTCTGAATTCTTTTCTGAGAAGGATGGGACATGCTGCTCCTCAACTGCAGCGTGAAGAGATTATGGCAGCTTTCTTCAATAAATTTGAGAGTTACTATGACATTTTTATTAGTCAAGGTGATTATTTTTTTCCCTTACAGTTGAATCTTGATAGTTTGTTTTTTCACTGAAGTTGTTTCCATAAGGCTGATTAGTATGATGTTTCCTCATTCGAAATGACGGCAACTAAATCGGATAAATTTCAGCTAGTGTTACAGACTTTTGAAGCACTGAATAATGTAGAAAGCTTTTGGATTTTGACTCGAAAAAGAAAAACCTCATACGATATTCCAGACACCTTTCGATTAATTAAGAACCGAACATGGATCACACTGAATGAGTGAGAAGCTGTTAAAAGTTCTCCTTTTCCTAGCTACAACCTGCCTTGTGGGTTCCATTTTGTAATTGGTATAATTACAGCAGAACACATTTCAGACTTTCATTTTCATATTTCTATTCAAATATTTTAAACATATTTCTCCTTCTTTAGACACTAAATCTCATTCTTTGTTCTATGTATGAACAATTTTCACCAGCAAGGTACCTGTCAATAATTTACTCTTAAAATGCAATATTTTTTTCCCCTGCAGGCTTCCAAGCACTGGAAGAGCTGTACTACAATACATGGCTTCATAGGTAAGACTAATTAAGTCTTGATTCGTGAAAATGACACTGATTGATGATGGGCATGAGATGGTTATGTACCATGTAGGTCAACTGCATGCAGTCACATTTGTTGCCGTAAAATTTTATGAAAAGTTTCTCATAATTGTAAGATGGAGATCAAATTTTGCAGTGATTATCATATGGAAAACGAGACCTGTTAATTTTGGTCATGTTGTGAAATTTCATACTTGGACAGTTTCACTTAAAAGAGTATTTGCTATTATCGGCTATGCAGCTACTTATTTTTGTGCTTCTCATTTGTGCCTTGCATGCAGTGGACAACGAGTTATCGTACAGGAAAAGAATGAAGATCAGGAGAAAATATCTGAAAATGTGGTCACAATTCAGGTGAATTAATGATGAGACGTCATTGATTTCCTTAATTTCATTTTTGTGAGGAGAAATGATGTCTTTTTGCTTTTCCTCTTCGGCAATCTGTATTATCTGAATAATCTACATATACTGATTCTGTTACACAATTCCACATAGAATGCTATAAATATGTGTTCAAATTCAGTTGAGAGCAGCTTGCTCCGCGTATTGATTTCCCATCAACTACTATCGAGTAGCAAACAGAATGGAAAGCGTGCTTGTCAATTTAAATTTATCTGATGGTAAATCAGTAAGGCTTGTGATTACACTATGTAAAATGTGTTTTGTCAATTTAAATAAATCTTATTTTTTATGATTAAGGATCAAGGATTAAATAAATCACATCCAATTATTTACAGCAGTTTAAGAACAAAAAGATTAACAACCTTACTATGAGAATGATCATGAAAAAGTTTAGTGATCACAAATTGGCCAGTTTACCAATTTCTCTATTTTTTCCCTTTTCTCTTCCACTTAAGTTTTCTGCAATGTCAATGTTATAAATCAAATGTTGTTAGCGGCATAGAGATTTAATTCTTGTGTTTGTAATTACAAACGGGATATATGCTGAAAAAAGACGTGCTTTTGGTACTCAGGGTTTAACAAAATCTGGATATTTACTGGCTATCACTGAAGATGGTCAGATGTGTGAACTTCATCCAGATGGAAACAGGTACATTTATCCTCAGCCCCACTTAATGTTTTTCAAACTGGGAAGCAATCAAATTATCTAAATACTCAAATTGCGCCAGAAGTACTCCGTTCGACGCTAGAAAGGAATTTAGTTGTTGAACAAGCAAATTACGATCTTTTTTTTTTCTTGTAACAAATGGTTTTTGTTTCCCTTGCTCGTAGTGAAATTGCAATAACGGTATTGTTAATTTTTACCACGGCAAGTGCACAAATTCGTAGTTTATAAAAAAATTGTGCAAATGCTTGACTTGACTTGGAAACTCTGCTGAAATTATTGATTTTCTAGTCAAGAAAACTGGAAACGCATGCGATCTATGATATATTTTGTATTTTATGGTTATTCAGTTGCAAAATCATATGTGCTCGGTTTCTTCTTTACTTTTTTCACCCAATACTCTACCAGGCATCCATATTTCAACTGAATAATCATTAATTTCCATATTTTTTTTCTATTTATATGGAATTTACTATTTATTTGCCTCAAGCATGATTTTTGTGAGCATAGATACTGATTTGAGCTTTCCTGCATTTGCTTGTCCTGGTTTCTTATTCAAGCGATGCAATACCCACTAGCCTTGGGAATTTGTACTTTTGGCAGCTATCCACACAGTTGCATAGTTGTCTTGATGCAAAAAAAATAGAAAAATAAAATTTTAGATCTAAATCACGATATCTCGATGGATGCTTGTCGTATTGTGAATGCATGCACGTTNAATCTCAGCTTTACATTATACGTACTTAAGAGACAATGTCCTACATTTGCTCCCAAATCGCCCGTCCACCACAAAACTTGATTATTCAGTTCCTAAATCGACCCTGCATTGTTTCACTAAACAGCAACCAAAAACTCGTGTCTTTAACCGAACACTTCGTGCAGCCAACTAAACACCATTTCGAAAATAGAGTCCCGACTTGCAGTAGTACTTCACAAGGGACGAAAAAGTGGGCCCCATTGGCTGGGCCTTGATGTGACAACGTAATAAACGATTAGCCGAAGGCCCCTCTTTCTTTCTTCCTGATGATAATTGTTATGTGCCCCAATTTGTATATGCCAATCATGTCCCATGTGTGCTGTCATACAAAATGTTGTATCCATTTATGCTCTCATTCGAAAACGAGTTTTTCACTGGTTTTTTTTATTTATTTATTTTTTCTTTTTCATCTGATTCGCCTTTTTATCGTCTCAATGTGGCTACTGGCTACAGCTTTGATTTCTTTAAAGGACTGGTGAGGAGAAAAATAACATGAAGCAGAGCTTATCAACCCCACAAGTGAGTTTTTTTTTTTTTGGTACTTTTATTTCTTAAGATGTGACATGAATGTTTTATGTGGGACTACAAAAGTTCACATGAGCCCAGTTGGTCAGGTGGTGGGGTTTACTGATATGGTCCCAAACAGTTGTCTTTTTGGAGTTAGTTGAATAGGACATATTGGCGCCCTTTTTTTGTTACAATGATTTTGATGATGATGCCTTTTGTTAAAAATTCCAATAATTGCTGCAGAGAATTTTCAAATTTGATGCCATTCTTGTTATATTATTGTTATATCCATATTATGACCA